CCCCCCCCCCCCCCCCCCCCCCCCCAACTCTGCTTCTCGCTCATCTTCCTGCTCTGGGTCCGGTTCAGCCACAGCTCCATAAGCGTGGATGATCTCGCCCGCTCGGGCCCCCGGCCAAGCCGAAGGCCAGATTCGTTGGTCACGGAATATACCACGGCGAATATTTATTGGCCCATTCGCCACTCGCATTGCGCTTTTCACCGCCGCCCCCCCCCCGGGCTCGGCCTTGAAGAGAAGTCGCGGCGCACGCGAAAAAGGAATGCCCGCATGAACAGCAACTGCCACCCGGGGAGGACACCGAATCTGGTTAATGATTCTCTCGGCTGAAATGTCCCTTCGGACCTGGCCCCGTTCATGTACCGTCGGCACGCCCCGGTGGCGCGGGGATATCCGAAGGACGCTGCCCGCGCCCCCCCCCCCCCCCCCTCCCCCCACCCTCCGCCCCCAGGGCCGCCCGCCCGACGACCCTGGGGGCGGAACCATGCGCCCAGCCCTATCTCTCCCCCTCCCCCCCCCCCTTCGCCCGTCTTTCCAGCCGCGACCCGGAGGTCAGTCATCGGAGGGCGCGACCCAGTTCGCGGGGAATCGCCAACGGTGGGGTGCACACGCGCACGCGCACACACGCGCGCCAGCACCAGCGCCCCCCTTCCCGCGTGCGGGCTTCCTCGCAGGGGGCCCCCCGGCAGACACGAACAGCTGGGGCCGTGGGCCCCGTTGCCCGCTGGGCCCTCCCACCAAGAGGGGCGGAGCAACCGAGCCGCTTTCAGGTCCCGTAGTCATGAGCCCAGGGCGCGGGGGAGGCCGGGGAGGCCGGCGACCGCACCACAGGCAGGCGAGCAGGCGGCGGCCGAGGAGGGATGCGGCGCACCCGGCCTCGCCTCTCTCGTCCCCCCCCCCCCCCCCGGGGCTCTAGTGGCTGGCGGGAAATTCCTGCCGCCCCCCAACCCTAGGTGGCCAGCGTCCCCGGGGGGGGGGGGGGGGGGGGCGGGGGGCGCACCACCCGACCCGAGTCGGGGCAGGGTGGCGGACGCGCGGGCCTTTTCTTGGGCTCTTTATTCGCCAGCCAGGGCGCTCCTCCGTCTGCCGCCACGGGTGGGCGAAGGGACGTAGCCGGTCCCACAGCAGCCGGCGACGCCTGGGGTTCTCGGTCCCTTTGCGGACGGGGCTCGCGGGGCGCGGGGCGCGGGGCACGGGGCGTGGGGGGGGGGGGCAGCAAGCCGAGGTGCACCTGCTGTCGCACTGGCAGTAGAGGCCCTCGGTCGGGCATGTCCCGCCCCCGAGGCCCGAGGCATCTCACATCCGATTGGCGGCGCGAGGGGCGATGTTACGCAAGGCGTGAGCACCAGGGGGGCCGTAGCAGACAGAGCGGACTGGTGGGCGCCTCTATGTGTGTGTATGTGTGTGTATGTGTGTGGATGCGGATGCTGCAGGGCTGGCCGCCCTCAAAAGTCAATGAATAGCCAAGTTCACAGTCGGCAGCAGGGCATTCTGGCCGGACAAACTCAGCAGCCGGGAACAATATTCTCTTAACGTCCTCCGGGTGCCGCCCGAGATCGAGATCACAAGACCACAAAGCACATGGCCACTTCCCCGATCGATTGCCCACGGACGTGCCTTCCTTAGATCTGCCCCAGACGAAGGCTGTGCAATCTACCCCGCCCCGTTCGTCTTGTTCGGTAGCCGGGCCAAACACATAGCACATAGCACATAGCACATCTCTCTCTCTCTCTCTCTCTCTCTCTCTCTCTCTCTCTCTCTCTCTCTCTCTCTCTCTCTCTCTCTCTCTCTCTCTCTCTCT